CCACTCATCGCACCATTAGCGGCGCAAACATTTGTGGTTTCCAAGCAAGGGTAAACGAAGTAATGGGCGACTTGCGGATAGTCCACTCTGCTGCAAACGGCGTCGAATGGTAAGAACGGACACCGAATGATGCTTAACAAATTGAATCTGTTGTGCTATGGTTCATGACGTGGCTGCGTGATCCATCAATGCCATGAGCACAATTCACCTTTCATCACAGGCAGAGGTGCAACAAGGTGGGTGTGATCGGCCCCGTCGTTTCCTCCTGCATCCAGCGATGACAGATCCGCATCACAGTCACTTGGTTTCGTCCAACATGTTGACCGATTTCTCTGAAGGATAATTCGCAATCCCTATAGGCTACTATTCTTCCTCGGTCGAATTCCGAAACTTGATCAAAAGACTCTCGATGTCTTCCACAAGGCATAGGAAACAACTTAGCAAAAAAAAAAAAAAAAAAAAAATGTTCGGAAAAACAATTATCGTACTTCAAATCGCCAATCTGTTCTCCCCTTATATAGCATTTGCGGGTGGCGCTACGGTCACCTGTGATGCGCTGTAAGGCTAGTGATTTGCATATTTCATCGCCGCCAACGCATGATGTAAATTTCATATGGTTTGCATTCTTCTTTCAGGGTGTTGCCTTTTCTGTGGTTAGCGCTGTAGATAATAAAAAATTAAATAATAACGAACATGATTACAAATAATAACATACGCATTAGGAAATAAAACGATGTAGATAAAGAGTTTATTATATTAAGGTCGAACTTATTTACTTACAACAAATTAATAATTTGGCTTACGATCTTTTCCTAGCTTTAATTTTCGCAAAAGTTTAATCCAGGCTTCATGCGACTTTGTTTTCAATTGCTATGAGCGATAAATGTTGGAGTCGAGCTTGGCTTACAACGTTTCTTAAATCATTTTTAATTTGCTAAATTTCTTTGGAGAATTCCTGCTTTAACCCGACCTTTCAGCTACTGCAGAAGTGACAGGAATTGTATTGCATATTGCTATAAATACTTCTGTTCAATACTATTATAATTATTTTTAAAAAAAAACCCTCAGCAAAATAGCAGAGGAAGGGGGGGGAAAATCTATTGTAGACACGAGCAGATTACGAAATATTGGAACAGGAAACTAGCTTATTTTGATTCGTATTTTTGTTAAAAATAAATGTATTCGAGAAAGAATTGTTTCCTGTGTAGGTTTTTTTAGACGCAATAATACGTATGGGAAGATTTTTTATGGATTTTGAAGTTTATTTTCCAGTAGCAGTTTATAGAAAAATAAAAATAATTAAAGTAACGTAAACTTTCCAAAATAAGTAAATTTTCCAACACTATACAAACAACGGGCAAAATTAGGGGAATTCTCAATAAGTTGGAAATTATTTTCAACTGAGCTGCCATGATTATTTGTATATATATCTTAAATGTGGGAGAAATGATCGCAAGTTCGGCTTCATTGGTGATCTGAGTCCTTGAGCTTGAGCATTGGTAGCTGCGCCATTGAGCCGTACTAAGCTGGGTGAACTATATATTGATTTCAAAAAGGAAAACGGATATTTTCGAATCTGATACAAATATATTTTATAAAATACTGAATAGATTAGAAATCTGAGAAAAATCTAATTTAAGAAGCAAATTAAAAAAAGAAAGGTGTATTGAATTTAGTAATCAGCTAATTGCTCTCTCTCTCTTAGTATGTTTTAATAAACTATTAATGTTAAATCTTGAAATTTATTTCATTTGTTAAACATTGTAATTATGATTCCTAACCATTGCATCATGAAGCAAAAGTTTTCGTTTTATCCTTAAATGTCCAAAAGTTACTTTTCTCGGTATTTTTTAGGTATAATTGATTAATTAGAGCTTACGAATTAGATATTTTAGACATATTGTTTGATGACGTACCATAGTTATTTCTATTCACTTCTTTTGCTATATTATTTCGGATACTATACTTTAAATTTCCAACTTTCAATTTGAGGACAAAAAACCTTCTCCCAACAATTCCATGTATTTTTGTAATACTATTATCGCGCAAACGATAATAGTACACACACAGATACTTCTTCAAATAAACTTTATTCAATTTTTCTCCGCAGGATCCAAAAGTTGATTATGTTGATCTGGGTGGATCATACATTGGACCAACTCAGGATTACTTAAGCCGCATAACAAAGGAACTTGGTATTAAAAACTATAAAATCAACCAAGATTTAAAATGTTTATTTTACAGAGATGTAAGTAAAGTATCTCCGACATCTGTATTTTTTCTTTAATTTATGTGTGAATCAGATTTAAGAGAAATAGTTCAGAGTTTTTCCTTGTTAATACTTTTATCATTGAATTTCGCTTTCGTTTATAAATGAGAAATGCTGAAAGAATTCATTAAATTTAAAGAGTACTCATTTTGCTCATTGATTTTATTAATTGACTTTTTCCTCGGATATGATTTTAAAGTTAGTTTTGCTTATTTCTTAGAATGTTTTGTTTCTCGTTTAATACTAAACCATCCTATTTTTATCCGTAAGAATTCATTATTTCTAATTTTCTAGGGACGGACGATATATCACAAGTCCTTAGACTCCCCGAGTGAAAGAAACCCATTTGTTAATATGGATATCAACAATATGTGGCGTCTCATTGATGAGTTGGGGAAACAGGTATTTTCGTTTAATATCATATTAGAATAACATAATTATAATAACAAACAAAAATGTTCTCCATTTTTGTATTTTCATTCTTTCCTTAATTCTGATTAACTTCCTTTATGTTTGGTCTTGCTTCCTTGATCTACGTTATTATATATATACATTTTTTTTAAGCACATTTTGTACTTAAAATGTTTTCCAAAAAAAATGAGATAAATTACTAAATGTATCTTTGCATGTTAAGAATATTTTTACGCTGCATTTTTTAATCGACGTACAATGTATAAAACGAGGACAGGAAATAATTATAAAAGTTTAGAAATTAATTCACTGACTTATATATAATGCAGCGATATATATATATATATATATATATATATATATATATATATATATATATATATAAAAAGTAATAGCAAAAAAGTATTTTCTGTTCTGATGTTGGTAATTATTAGTTTTTTTTTATAAAACACGATATTATTCGTTATATATTAATATGTATATTTTTCAATACCTACTATTCACTATTTTCAAGCGTTAATAAAATACTTTCTATTCATCCATTCAAATTCAAATAGATTTTTTTAAACTTGTAGTGGAAGGCACTTGATGTTAATACAGTTTTTTCAAATATTAACTCATTAATTAAATTAAAACATGAATAAATAGAAACAAACAAAAATAATAGTCCAACAGCATATATAGAAAAGGAAATCGTTCATTGTGTCCCTGTAGCGTAATGGGTAGCGCGCTGGACTTCTAATCCAAAGGTCGGGGGTTCGAATCCCATCTGGGATGGCCTAATTTTTTGAGAACGTGGTTTCTTTTTTCACTATACTATTTTATTAGAATAACCGAATTGAATTAATGAATAAATAGTAACAAACAAAAAATACTCCAACATATATAGAAATGGAAAATTGCAAGGAAAATCACTTTCTATTTTGTCACTTATGATTGTGATTCTGTCCTATATGTATATACATATTTATATTAATTGTAACTATTTAATAAATAGTAACTAAAATAAAACTTTTCTTTGTTGTGACTTAAGTAGGAATTATTTTTTAAAAAAATTCTTTTTTTTTTTCTATTCTTTGTTTCCTTTTTTGTAACTCATTTAATGTCACATGTTTTGTTTTGATCCCCAAGTTTCAACACGAAATAAGCAAAATAATTTTTCTTCACAAAACCATGCGACGGGCTCATCGCGTTTTCTACTAAAAACTTCTCTTGGGTTCTTTGGGGCCGAAAAAGGCAAATTCTTTCCAACCAAATCCAGAAGCGAAGCGTGATTATGCAAATTAGAAACCTTTTAAATAGCAGAAGTTTAGCGTAAGCGTATGACCTTTTGGGAAGGGATTATGCTAGTCTGAGTTTAGGCGCGTAAACTGAAGTCAGAGAAGTAAGCCGTTATTCTAGTGTGAAGCTATCCGTGACAGAACTATCAAGTCAGGGTGGATACAATTCCACGCGAGATCAAGAAAAGATATTTAGGATCCGAGAGGATTGTTATAACCAAGAGAATAAGGTAGGATAATTCTGTTATCTATTAGGAACTGTGTATAAGTGGAGATTAGGATTAGGCGGGAATATAGTGATTAAGATCGCGCTTATTTGGTAATACGTATTGTGTGTTTTCTCACCTCAGATCCGCTAAGTTAAAATATAATTATTATCTTTGTATAGTGTTTAAATTAAGATCTTAATAAAAATATATTAAGATCATGGCAACGCAGGGTTCTTTATTCCCTCCCACACCCCTAGGTCACGAAGATAACTTAAAAGTAAGGTATCACCCCCTAGCGAATACCTTACAACCACTTTTGTTTCTTTCACGATTTTTTATCATGTACTCACCACAAATAGAATAAGTTTCTCGGAGAAACAATGGAAAGTCCTGGAACCATCATGCAGTAATAGAAACACGAGCACAGTAATGTTTTGAATGTTGGATGTAAACTGAGTGTGACTTTACATGGCTTTTTAGTAAGTTCTTTATATTGACGTTGAACTCTAAGGCAACGCGAGAGCTACCAGATAATGACCTCGTAATTCAATTCCTACTATTAGTTCACTCTCTCTCTCTATATATATTATATATATTTATATATTATATATATATATATATCTTGTTCAAATTTTCAATCGATAATAAAATACTTTTTATTCTTCTACTCAAGTTCTAATACATTTTTTAAACTTGTAGTGGATGACACTTGATGTTAATACAGGTTTTTCATGTATTAATTCATTAATTAAACTTAATTAATGAATAAATATTAAAAAACAAAAATAATATAGTCCTACGCCATATATAAAAAGGAAAACCGCTCGTTGTGTCCCTGTAGCGCAATGGATAGCGCGTTGGACTTCTAATGCAAAGGTCGTGGGTTCGAATCCTACCTGTGATGGCCTTTGACTATTGATCGTACATTCATTCTTCCTTCCTCTTTAAAACATTATCAATGTTTTCATCTTCCTGACACTGGAACTGAAAAAAAAATAGCACTTTGAAAATAATAGTTATTCCTGTTCAGTAATGTAGTTGTTATTATTATTATGACTGCTACTCGCATGTCCAGTAATGTTTGGAAGTCTATATGATAAATATACTTAATTTTCACCAAAAAATCTGGTCAAGATTTACTAACTTTTCAATCATTTTGACAAACCACCATAACTATTCTCTGAAGCATATTTTTGTAGTGGGAAGTGTAAAATTTACATGCAGCCGAAAAAATTTAAGGCTAAACAAATAAAAATTGCAAAAAGAGGGGAGGGGGAGTAGAGACTCGTAATTTTTGCAGTTCTCATTGCAGCTGGACAAATTTGATACCAATGTTAATGGCTGATAGAACTAAATTTTGATGTAATGATCCATTAATACACACATTGACACATTTAATTAACCCTTAAAAATAGTTTTGTCATTATCATATTGTTTTCCTCAAATCTTTTCTATAATTTCTGCTCTTAAAATGGACCTAAATTTTAAATTTTGTAAAATCTTGTTTGAAATTTTCTGTCTTATAGAAATTTTTTTAAAAATAAGCCCAAATATTTTTCTTGGGTGTGTTAAACAAATATCTCTGAATCTTTGAAACCACAATAAAAAATTTACACGGTACTTTTAAAAGCGTATAAATATGAATTATTACTTATTAAAAATTGTTAAGGAAAAAATGAATTGTTACATTCGAAAATTTTTAGATATTTGAATTCCTCATGTCATAAAGTCTCTAAATTCCCAAATGCATTATAATTCCTACTGTAACGAACACCCGGGGTAACTTAAATTTCTAGGTAGAGAAATGGATCTCACAAATCAGTTAAATTACTTTATTTCAGCGTTTCTCAAACTGTGGGGCGCGCCCCCTTTGGGGGCATGACAACTCTACGAGGGGGGCGCGAGCATATTGAAAATTCAAAAAATCAAAATATTATTTAAAAAAATTAACAATTTAATGGAAAAGAAACAAAATAAACTATGACATAATGAAAAAAATACACATTTGCGCTGATATATTACAATTATAAGTATATAAGTGCTACACAATGTACTTTCTAATTAATTTAACAATACTAAGATAAGAAAAAGTTTAATAATTACAAGTGACCCCATGGGATTGCCATATATAAAATAATAAACAAAAATTAGCACTTCATTTGTACGGTTTATAATGAATCTCTTGACTGCCGATTAAAAGTTACGAGATTCACTTCCGCATACCAACTGTTTTCCACGTAGGCGCGCATATGTCATGTATTGAGGGAAGGGAAAGGAATAAAAAGAGCCTGTGTGGAATCTGAAATAAGTAAATCCTTCCTAAACATTGTGCCGAGGCCATTTTATGGATATCAGTGCACAAAAAAGATTGTACTTCAGAAATACGTATATATAAGTCCGGGGTAATTAACGCTTTGGCTGAGCGAGACGTTTATATACGCCAGTGGCACTTAAGAGATTAAAGTTGTATTGTAGTTTTAGCGTCAAAGTATAGTATTATAGAATTCGACGCATTGTTATTGTATGAGGGGGGCGCAATGAAAATTATGATTGAATATTGGGTCACGAGTATTGAAACTTTGAGAAGCACTGCTTTATTTCCAATCTTTAGGCAAGTTATCAAATATAACTTATTCTATCTATAGGTAAGTAAATTTACAGATATTTTGTATTCTCGTCATGTAGGCAGGGCCGATCCTAGCAGGTGTGCAGTGCGTGCACCTCACGCGGGCGGCCGAAACAAGGGGCGGCCGCAAGCTGCCTATAATTCTTTCGATCAAGCAAAATTTTTTGTGAATTTCTCAAAATAAAATTTATAAGTTGAATAAATATGCTGAATTTTAAATAGTTATTGAAAAATCAAAATAAGTCTTGATTTTCCGATAGCATAACATAGTTCGAGAAAAATAAGAATGGATTTCAAATTCTGAGGAACACTCCTTCTCATCAGGGGGCCAGTATGAATGGCACATGCCCTCCTAGCTACAGGGGCCCTGGACGTGTGTAAGCAAAAAGTTGTAAAATGTTATTAATGGTCATATATTAAGGATTCCTTTCCACGTTTATAAAATAGTGTATGTCACTGGCTTCAAATGATATAAATTTTCTGTGCGAATCTCAGATCCTACTATAAAAAAAGTTAAAAAGCTGGTAAAGTTACTCAAAATAATGAGAAAACAAGGAGTGGTACGTGGTCAGAAAGCAGGAAAAACTTCTCATTCAAAGCGGTTCGACAAAAAGATAGTTTGAAGTGAAATACAGATACCACTTGGAATGGAAAAAATCCATTCAGAATGTTATTTGATTGTAAATGAAAATACCTCCTTCGTCTGTTGATTGATTGACTTTAATGAACGTCGCACTAAGAAGATACACGGAGGCTTGGCAGTTGGAATTTTTTTCAGAAGTGGTCCAGGGAAAGAGAAAATTAGATTTTATTTTTATCCCGGTTCTTTTTTATTTCTGTAACAACCAAAAGACCGAATATGCATTCAGTCAGCAAGGGTTCTGCTTCCCGTTCCGAGAAACATCTGGCCCATAAGCGCCAGAAGTCTGTCACCCTACTAGTCTATAATTAATTATTTTTTAACAAGTGTTCATGAGTTCTCAACGCTGATCCCATGGGGGAAGGAGGAGGGGGCGTTAAAGAAGAATTTCGACACATCGGACAAAAGTGATGAAAAGCACGATCAAGATTTATGACATGCTTAAGGACGAATAAGGTAGAATGGCCCTCATAAAAAAAGACCCCTTTTCGAAGAAAACTGATGAACTTTTGCGTCAGTTTGACTTCCGAACTAATTTCATTTAGCTCCCTGCGCTTATACAGACAAGAAAACAAATCGGAACAAAAACTGTTAAACAACAAAAAAGGTAACTATATTTTCACTTTCAAATTCTCTTTTCGATTTTTAAGATTTAATCCCTAGGTATTTTAATCATTGGGTAAGATAAAGTGAAAAAAAATAAATTTTGTTGCATTTGGGCTATTAATATTTTATTTATTTTTCGTTTCGGATATATAAATATAAATAACTGTCATCAGTTTCTTAGAATACTTTCATGTTGATTAACATATTTAAGTATGTTTTCGTAGCATGAATGTACCGTAATCTTCTTAAAACATTTTCAATTGGCATTGTTATTCAAATGAAAGAATATTATTTGCTTCTCGTATAAAAATAATTTCTTTAGTCACTTATGAAAAACGGTAGTAGTTCATTTAAAATACAAAACACTAATGACCCTTTGAGTACATTCATTAATTATTTACCATACTTGAAAGGATCCTAACAATAGCTCGAAACTGAAATAAAACGTAGTTATATTTATTTTGATGATTTTATTTCTATAATTTCTAAATAATTAATTTAAATTGCTTCAAACTGTGAAAATAATTTTCAAAAAAATAAAGTATGTTAAGTTTACTTAAAGATACACACACATATATTTTTTGTTCTTTTTATTGAGGTAACATGTGAAATAAACACATAATTTTTCTAATATACTCTAAGACTGCTAAGAGAACCATTATTTGTAAGATTGAATTTGAAAAGCACAAATTCTTTTTTCTTTTTGTATTTATTACTATTTTAAGAGTGATTTGCACGATACCTTCTTGATTAAGATCTTTTGCCCAGAGAATTTGAAAGAATATTTAATGCAATATAATAATTAATTATGTGTGTAATTTAGTAGCGCACACAGGAATTTTTCAAGGGGGGGGGAGTCCGGGGTCGAAAGTTCACCATTCTTGTATTATGCTCCTTTTGATTTTGTCGGTTTTCGGGAACAAAACACAGTAGAAAGCCAATAATTGAATAAATAATTAGCATTAATTAATAAAATTAATCATTAATAACAAATAATTAAATTTTACGTACTATATACTTAGAATTATAATCAATCAGAAAAAAAAATCAAGGGCTTTGGGGGGTCCGGACCCCGCCCCTCTTGTGTGCGCCACTGGTGTAATTAATAATAAAAATACATAAAAATCGTATAATTTCTTTAAAATATTGTATAGCATTATGTATGATTCTAATAAAGATAATCAAAATTCATCTTTAACAATCTATACTATAGCAATACTTAAAATCTTTATAAAAGGCAACAATAAGAATGTCAGAACTATTGTGCAGAAATTTCTTATAAAAAGCATTTAATGAAAGGTTTATTTTTCCAGAACAATAATAAATGTTGAAAAACATACGTAATATTTTTTTAGTTGCTCCTAGTAGTATAAAACTATTTAATTAAAGTGATAGCAAAACACATTACAGAAACAAAAATATGATAAACACAATTTATAAAGTAGATAAGTAATTTCAAATAAAACAGAAATGTGAAAAATGATTCAATAAGTAGTAAGGTTGTATTATCTTCAGTATTTTTAATGTAATTAAGATACAAATTTAGTTAAAAAATTTTAGATTTTTTTATGATACTGTGGCCTTTGTCAAAAAAGTTTTGAGTTATCTTAGAAATTTCAAATTATTATAGAAATGTTTTATTGATCTGTTTAGTCCAGTGTTTCTCAAACTGTGGGGCGTGATAACCCAGCAAGGGGGGTGCGAGCATATTGAAAAATCAAAAACAAAAGATTATTTTTTAAAAAAATTATTAATGTACTGAAAGTAAACAAACAAAATACGTTCTGACATAATAAAAAATAAGATTAACATTTGTACTGATATAATACACTGATATGAGCAGTACTGCACAATGTATTTTATAATTAATTTAACAATATGATAAGTTAAGAACAATTTTGATAATAACCAGTGACCCCATGAGCTTGTCATGCATAAAGTTATATGAAAAATTAACACTTATCTTGATAATTTTGACTGTTTATAATTAATCCCTTAACTGCCGATTAAAAGTTATTCAATTCGCTCCCCA